GGGCATCTCCTCCTGCACATGTGCTGTGTGTCCTCGAGGGGAGGACAGTGGGACAGAGGCAAAGGGCGTGTAGGTGTTGCTCTGGACCAGAGTTCTGGTTGTTTACCACAAGGTACCACGCCTGCAGTGGGGGCAGCGAGGAGTGGGTCGAGCAGTGGGCATGTGGGCGGCATGTCCGCTGCCAGGAGTGGGGGTGAGCAGTGGGCAGGTGGGCAGCATCTCTGCTGTTCCCTGGCTTCAGGTTTAATTTCAGAGGCTCCTCTCCCTCTCCTCTCTCTCCCTCCCACCGCCTCAGCCTCCCCAGCTACAAGGAGCAGAACCTGTTAGGTCAGGCTTTCTTCTCTGACTCCTCCTCCTCCGCACCCCACCTCACCACAGGCCTGGGCTTTAGGTCGCATCCCCATCACCCTGGGGCCCTTTTAGAAATCCCCAAGAGAACTCCCCAAGCGGAGGTGATGGAGGCCTCCCAGCAGTGCCACATTAACCCCAGGGGACAGCACTGTCCTGGGCTCCCGAATACCCAAAGCCTCCTTCTTCCGCCTGTCCTTCACACTGGCTCCTCCCTCTCCCTCCCCCCACCCCGATCCCTAGCCCTAACCCTAACCCTAACCACACTGGCTCCTCCCTCTCCCTCCCCCCACCCTTGACTCTACCCCCAAACAAAACAATAGGAACTATTTGCCTTGGGGTTAGAACCAGTTCATAGCTGAACCTGCAGCGGGCTTTCCCAGGCTGTAAATCACACAACAGGAAATGCCCATCTTCCTCCCTTGGAGCCGCTGGTGGAATCACACTGCCTGAGGGGTCACCGTTTGGACAGGCAGCGCCTCTGCCTGCGGACGAGGCTGCCAGAGCTCTCCGCACAATCCAGGGTTAAAAATCCCCTTTCCTGCCAGGCTGAAGCTCCCTTTCCAGCTGCCGCACTCCACCACCCGGCTCCGGCTCCGATAGACAAGGCACGCTCCCCATGTCCACACGCGTGTGCGCGCATGGGCACCGACACGTGCACCCACTCACGTCTCCTCACACACTCACACAGTCGTGCATACACACAGAGCCATGTGTGCACACATGCACATGTTCACATGCCCGTATCCGAATACACCAGCACAAACTCACATGAGTCTATGTGTATGCACGTACTCCAGACAGACACACATCCACGTATGCACATGCATGCAAACACACACTCACTCACACAAGCAGGGGCACACACTAACACACACGTGTGCACACTCATGTGTCCACAAGTATGTACTCTGCTGTTGCTGCTGTTGTAAAGAGACTTAGGCTGGGGGCTCCTGCGTTAAGATTCCACCCCAGAGCGAGAAAGCGAAGCTGGCTGCTGATGGCAGGCGGGTGCAGAGGTCCCCCCACAAGCATCTACTCTTGAACCATCTGGTCAGCCTCTCATTTCATGCACCTCCCTTGTGGTTCCATGCTACCTCCAGCATCTGGAGTCTAGATTAGTGGACTTGGGGGTCACTCTCAGCTCCTCTAAGGTTTTTTTCGGGAGCAGCACTAACCCCCTATCTCAGAACAGCCCCACTTCCCTGGTCCGGAGCTCTGGCAGCTCAGGGCACCTTGCTGCACTGAGACTTGTGGTAAATGGAGTCACCTGACTGCTCCACATTGGTGAATGGCTGAGGGGGCAGTGAAGGAGATCCTGCCCCCACGGCTCAGTTTCCACTGAGAGGGGACTTTCTTTAGAAGGAACCAAGACAAGACATCTTGTATTAGCTCTTAACGATTTGGGAAGGGAAGTCGAATAGCTCTTTACTGTAATTCGAACAACTAAATTATTCATCGAGAGCAGCAGACAGAAATTGGACAGGGACCAGAGGGACAGGAGACCCTGGCCCAACCCCATAACTCAGACTTGAGGTTGCTCACCCCCATCTCCAGCTCCAGTGAATCCTGTAGTACTTAGAGGGATGAGGGAGTCTTTGGCCTCAGTGAGAGGTGGATGGGGGGTAGGGCAGAGGGGGTATTGAAAGAGCATCAATTTCAGCTGGGAGATGGCTTAGGAGGCGGAGGTGGGGAGATGGGGGAGGTGGGGGTGGGGAGTGGAAGTGGGGAGATGTGGGAGGTGGAGATGGTAAGATGCGAAGACAGGTGAGGAGGATGAGGTGAGAGAGAGGCTGGAGTGAGAGGTGACAGGAGGTGAGACATAGACATGAGTGACGGAGGGAGGATACAGACATGGGAGATGGATGCAGGGACAGGGTGATTGAGGTGAGAGTAGAGGTGGGTGATGGAGGCGAAGAGTTAGACGTAGGAGGTGGAGATGGGGAGATGAAAGTTGGCGATAGAGGCGGAAGTTGTTGTTGTTGTTAGATGCCATTGATTCAAGTAAGACTCATGAACAACAGACCTGAGCTCTGTCCTGTCCTGTGCCATCCTCATCACCTCGGACACTTCAGTTCACTGCTGCTGTCACTCTGTCAGTCCATCTCGCTGAGGGTCTCCATCTCCTGCGCTCACCGTCCGCCTTTCCTAGCATGATGTCCCTTTCTAAGCATGTGAGGCGAAGCTCTGCTATCCTTGCCTCCATCCTTGGTGGTGTTAGAGATGGGAGTTAGAGAGGTGGTTACAGAGGTGGCAGGGAAAGTTGGGGAGTTAGAGGTGCTAGATGGAGGTGAGAGAGCTGAGACACAAAGTGGAGATGGGGAGATAGATATAAAAGGTGGAGGATGGGCTTGGAGAGAGGAGGCTGCAGAGGGGGGAGGTGGAGATGGGGAGATGTAGATGGGAGACAGGTGAGGAGAGGGCAGAGAGCTTGGGGACTCACCCTGAAAAGAGTCCCTCACCTTCTAGAGATTGCTCCTGACCCAGGTGGACTCCAGGCTATGACAGGTTCATGCCTACAAGTTCCATGGTTTCTAACTGCTCCAGATGGTATCTCTTCTGCAGCCAGGAAACTTCCTTACTGACCTCTGGCTTCGTAAGGGGTATAGCCCCACCCCACATTCAGACCTAGCCACCTTCTCCCAAGGGAGGGACAGACAGGACATGGGGAGCAGGTGGCCATCAGAGCTTACAGAGAAATGTAGCCACAACTCCTCCCCAGGCCAGGCCGGCCTCCCCTTCCTTTTCTAGGTCCTAGGGTCCTTACGCCCCTGCCCTGGGCTGGTTCTCCTGACAGCCATGTCTACACAGCAGCTGCAGCCCTGCGCCCAGCACTGTCTGACCCAGGTGGGTGGCAAGGGTGGTTGGTGGGCCTGGGTGCCCACTGCTGCCCAGTACCAACCTCTTTGTTTCCTATGCGACAGGCTTCTTTCCCAGCTGAAAGGGTCTTAGCTGGGTGGGCACAGACTTTCCCTTCCTGTTTTCTTCCCCATGACCACACAATGGCCGGGTTAGTGAACGGATGTCCAGATGGGCGGACAGAGAGCTTGCGATCTGAGAGGGAGCTGCGGTGGAGGGGTGAACTGGGCACCTGCAGAAAGAGCAGGCGAGGAACGTGGGGGAGGGGAGGAGAGGTGAGAGTCCGCTGTTGGGGTGGGGAGGCTGGGGCCAGGAGGAGGGCGCAGGGCGAGGCTTTTTGGAAAGTGCAGCCCCAGGGGTGGCACGTGCTGACTCACTGCCTGCCATCAATTTTCCCTGCTTCCTGGGGATCCTCATTCCTTTCGGGAAAGCTGCGCTGTGACTAATTTGTTCTTAAACAAACCGAACCCAGGGGGTGGAGAGGCTGGGCGGGGCTCGAGTCACCCCCCACCCAGGGGGGAGCCACACCTCAGCCACTTGGCTCCCGTCCTGGGGGGACACTGGGCCTCCCCAGCTGCTCCTGAAACACTCCCAAAGGTCCCTGCTGCGTGGCTCTGTCAGGTGGGCGGGCCAGCAGCCTCTGGAGGTGACTCCAGTACCTCTCCTGATGGAGCAGGCAGCCCAGGGAAGGAGCCGGGACTGCTTCAAGAGTTCCTCAGCAGGGCACTGCCTGAAGCTGCTGGTGGAAATGACTCTGACCACAGTGTGTTTGATGAATGACTAACTGACCGACTCTGGTTCCTCTCCAAGCCCTTCCCAGATCCTCCCTCGGTTGTATGCCCCTGACTTCACAATCCTTTGCCATTCTCACTACTGTGTCTGCCTGACACCCCAAGAAGTGTACTCTCTGAATCTGCAGGAGTTCAGTGGTACCTGGAGTGTACTCCACGTTCACTCGGGGGTTCCACTGCATAGCGTGCGCCCTGTCCAGTGGGCAGCAGATGGGATGGGGGTGTGGGGAGGGGTGCCTACAAGCCAACAGCTCTCAGTCAGGCAGGAGAGAGATTGCTCCTTCCATTTCACTCAAGAGGCAACCAACGGTCAGAGAGGACACCAAGCCAGTACTGGCCATGTGGACCTGCCCATCCGATAAGTTATGATTAAAATGGGGGTGGGGAGTGCAGAGGTCGGGTGGGAGCCATGGGAGGAGGAGCTGCAGTGTAGATGGAGTGCCACGTGGTCTGCAGCCCCAGGCCCAGCCCGGATGCATCTGCTCTGCACCCGGACCCCCTGGTGAGAGCTCACCAGACAGCCCACTGGGACAGCAGGAAGCAACCTTCTCTTTCTACTTCTTAACGTATCTTTTTGAAATTTCAACTTTTGTGGCTACATAATAGATGGACACAGCAGTCAAGTGCCCAGTGGTTTATAAATAAATAACTATCCACGTGGGGCAACAATTTCCTGAAGGGAGAGAAGTCCCACCTGCCCTTCCCCAGTCGCTGTGCTCATGCCCCAGGCTAGCCTGCAGTAGGACATCCTCGTGGGGACAGTGTGCATGCCAGCTCCGTTGTTGGAAGGCGATAGGGGGTCTTCCTGAGGGCCCAGGCTGACCTGCATCGTCGGCCGGGCATGGCTGCGCCAGACTCCCGCCTGCGCCTGGCCTAGTGCCACCGTCCATGGGTGGCCGCTGGGATACCGGGAAGGGAGTCGCCTTCGCTCTGCAGCTGTAGATACCCGCCCTGAGAGCGCAGTCAGGGAGGGCTGGGCGCCCCAGCACACGCCAGGCCCAGGTGGGGCGCGCCCGCCCCGGTGGCCCTGAGAGGCGGGCAAGTTCGTGGCGCCCCGAACCCGGCCCGAGCCCTGCGCGCAGCCAGGACGGCCGGGCTCCAGCCATCGAACCCAGCCCGCTCGGGAGGCTCTTTCCAGGAAGCGGAGCGGAGCCGGCGAATTCCCGACAGCGACCCAGGCGCGCGCCTACCCGCCCGGGGCAGCCGGGCAGCCGCGCCTCCAGCAGCCGATCAATGCATCCGCCTGTCCGCCGCCCCGCGCAGGGAGGGGGCCGGGCCCCGGACGCAGCTTGCCGGGTCCCTGCCTGCATCCTGCACCACAGCGGCCCTCGCAGAAGGCCTGGGTGCTGGCACGTCTCAGGAGGCACCCCCTTCGTCCTGTCCTTGCTGAATGAGCCACTTGTCTCCTTGCTTGTCTGTGAAATGGGTTGAACACAGCCGCCGCCCCCCGCCCCCGCGTGCATCCCCATAAACTAGCCCAGTGTGACCCAGATCACAGCCTCTGCCCCAGCTTGGACCAGGTAGCCCCCCAACTGATGACAAAGGGTCCCCTAAAAGAAGAGGGCCAGGGATTGGCTCTAACAGTTCAGAGAATTGGGGCCTATAAATAATATTCACCATGGGAGGGGGTAGGGAAAGGGACAACTATTAGCTGAAAGGGAGAGGCACCCCACCACCGTGCAGCCTCAGCTGCACTCAGTGCCCAGGACTAGCACGTGTGGGGACATCTTGGGGATGTCTCTGTCAGCCTCATTGTTGGGAGGTGAGGGCTTTGTTTGGAAGGTGGAAGAGGAAGGCCAGAAGCCCCTGGAACTGGTGGATCTGTGGGAAGTCACCCAGGGGCACAGCCAGCTCACTGGCCCCCACCTGAGCCCCCACGCCAGATCTGGGCCTTGAGGAAGGAAGGTGGTAGGGGAGGAAGGGTGGGAGACTGGGAAGCAGAGGAACCATTTCTGGGAAGGTGAGAGGCGTTGTGGACCATGGCAGGCTGCCACTGTCCCTCCTCCTGCAGGTCAGGTGCGGCCCTCCCTCAGACCTCAGGCCTGAGCCATTACAAGGGGCATTTGGGTGTGTGTCTGGGTCTGTGCCCATTGGGAGGGGTTTGCATGGGAAAAGAGTCACAGGGAGAATGGGAGAGGCTCCGCCCCCAGGCCCAGGGTCTCCTCTGCTCCCATATCTCTCCCCCATCTCAGCTCAGGGTCCTGCAGGCAGAGGGTGACAGAGCCAAGGGAGACTCTGGTGAGGGGGTGCACTAGCCAGCAGGGCTTGGGGAAGGGGTTTCATGGTGTTGTCTACCTTGGAAGGCGGAGGGGGCAGTTGGACAAAGCCTGGAGACACTGTCTCCTGTGTGCACTGGGCCTCCAGCTGACCAAGGCAGGGAGACATACCTTCCTGGGGTCAGAACATTCAGCTTCTGACCTGAGGAGGAAGAGGAGAAGGAGAGAGGTTTGAGCCAGCTGGACCCACTATGCCCTCCCTGGTCTCAAGCTCCTTCCACTGCCACTGGTTTGTAAAACTAAGCTGCAGGAGGGAGAGGGGCTGCGGAGTGGTCCTGGGACACTAACGGGGCAGAAGGATGGCAGCTGTGGGCCGGGCGGTCACCTCAGTATCTCTGCCAATGGCGAGGGCCAAGTGGGGGTTTGGGCGCTGTGGAGGGTGGAGCTGTGGGGGGTAGGGGGCTTGTGTCCCTCAATGGAGCTTTTGCCAGCCTGTATTCCATTGTGGGGACCCAGGTTCCAGGCAGGCAGGTGGCAGACCTTCTGAGGGCGGTCCTGTCTCATCACCTAGGCTAGAGGGACCTTCCTGCCTCTTAGCTTTCACTACTATGTTCACTGGGCTGAAGCCATCCATGCATTCATTCGCTTGCTTCATTCATCCACCCTTCTGTCCATCCGTGCATTTATTCATTCATCCTTCCACTCACTACGTTCATCTATCCAACCATTCATCCATCCATCCATATACTCATTCATTCATTTACTGTCCACTTACACACACATTCATTCATTCTCTTCATTCATTCATCCATCCTTCATTCATCATCCATCCATTCATCCATGCATGCATTCATTCACCGCCTTCATTTATCCACTCAGTGCATTCATCCATCTACCCACTCATGAATCCATCCATCCATCCTACATTCATTCATCCCATTTTTTTGCAGTGTGCTCATTAAGTCATACCCTGTTCCAAGCCTGATGATTCCATGGAGCAGCATGGTAAAGGGAGACCCTTCTATAATCCTGTGCCACACTAATCATGAGGGGAAAAGCCGCTAGGCCAGTTTGGGCCCAATAAAGAAATGTCTTAGATTGAAATCTTTGTTGAGATCATTGTAGACTCAATGATCAAAATGTTCTCAAAGAACAAAGAGAGAAATCTCTTTTGTATTTTATCCCAATTGCCACAATGGTATCATTTCACTAAACTGTATAGTTAATATGACACTCAGGATACAGGCCTTGATGACAGTCTTATTCGGATTTCCTTGTGTGAATCTGTAAATTTATACAGAAGTGCATATGTGTGTTGACTTTCCTGTGAGGTGTGAACCGGAAGGCTGGAGATTTGAGTCCACCCAGAGACACCGCAGAAGACCTGGAGTCTCTCAAAGAATCAGCCACTGAAAACTCGAGGCATCACCTCTTCAAGGAACACTGACGAGAGAGCTCAGCTTGGCCCTGACCCGCCCAGAATCGCAGGAGTTGGCTCCATGACAACTGTCTTTCGAAGAGCACAGCGTATGCAAATGAGTTCTGGTGGGATAGTGCCTTATGTGTCCAGCTGCTAACAAAAAGGTCGGCAGTTTGAATCCAACAGTTGCTTCTCAGGAGCAAGATAGGCGGTCTCTCCCGCAAAGATTTCAGCCTTGGAACCTGATGGCTGCGTGCTAAGAGTCAAGTCAGCTCCGAGAGGTGGGGCTGACAGTTCTGTCACTGTGTCGGATCAAGAAGCTGATGGATCCCCACACCACCAGGGCCCCCAGCTTGCCTTTTCATAATCACGCCCACCTGCCTTCAAGGTCCCCATCCTACTCCAGCCCATCTAAACCCTTGACCTGAAGTGATTCCTCCCCGTTAACTTTTCAACGTGACTTGAGTGAAAGTTTCTCGAGCAGACTTGGTTTTCATCCAACAGCTCTTACACATTTTATTTTGTGACATTGACAGAAGCTTCTACATGTGTCACAGGACTCTTCCCACTTCTTCCTTGTGTGTGGCCTTTCCACACATCCATCTTTCCTATCCTGTCCTGTCTTCTAAGCCTTATTCCTGGGCAAATGTGGCCCTTTCAGTTTTGTTGGTTTGTTTTTGTTTTTACATTTGTGTGTGTGTGTGTACTGTCAAATCGGATCTGACTGATTCAGGAGGAGATTGACTCCCCTTCTCCAGCAGAGCATCTGGTGGATTCGAACCACACACCTCTGGGATTGCAGTGCACGTTCTTGCCACTAGGCTATCAGACACTTTCAGTTTTGTGTGGCTGGTTCAGAAGTGGCTTTTGAGTAGAGTGGAGGAGACAGTGACTCTTTGCCCGCCCCACCCATGACCTGATGGCCTGTGACTGCTGGTGTCTCAGCCACCTTGGTCAGGTGGACCCTTCAGGAGCAGGGTCTGTGTCTCAGGTCTCTCCTCTCTTAGGTCTGACCCTCAGTCTGACCACAGCCAGTGCTTGCAGGATGGGAGGACTATGCCCGACTCCGTAAGCTGGGGTCAGGCTACACAGTGTCAAAGTGGCCAACACAGACTTGAGAGCTAGGATGGGCACCAGTTGACAGGACCAAGGCTTCAGGCTCCCAGAGGAGGGCGCTTCAGTCTAGACTGACCGACGGAATAGCTTCACTGAAGTTCATTGCCCCAAGCCTCAGGGTCACAGGGGCTACAGCCTGCGATGTGGACCCATTTTGAATAATATTATTATGAATGTTTGAGTAATATCATTATGGTTTAGAGGGATTTGTTCTCCGAGAAGGGGCACTTCCATCATTTGTGGTTTGATCTGTGCTCCCATCCGTCTCCTGTGGGTGAAATCCCATTTGGGAGCAGTTTCTCTGTCGTGATAATGAGGTCCTGTCTGGGTAAGATCAATGCTAACCCTAACCACCTCTGAGCTGTGGGTATCAGCGCAGACACGGAGATGAGTGAGCAAGATGAGAGAAGGCAGCCTGACCTGATGACACGGCAGGTACACCCTGCCCAGCAGCTCTGAGGATTGCGGCCACTAGAAGTCCAAGGCCAAGAACTGGGATCTCTACCCTCCTGCACTGTAAACAATGTCTGTGTTCTACTCATCACCACTTGTAAGATTTCTGTTACAGCAGCACAAAGAGACTAAGGCAGCCCCAGAGTCACAATAATAGTCCCACTGAAAAGGGGGAGAGTTCCCTGGCTGCTCCTCCGGGCCCCTCCTGTTAGGGGAGGTGGTTCTCATCATCGTGGGGCTACCAGGAACAAGGAGGACCACGCTGGGTCTCAGACCCTCCAGTCACACCATGGTCATCTGAAAGCTGGGCTGTGAATAAGGAAAATGAACGCATGACTGAATTGTGATGTTGGTGAAGAATGTTGATCGACACCACAAGATAAAGGTAAACAATCCAATTGAAAAACAAGCACAGGATATGAACAGACACTTCACCAAAGAAGACATCCAGATGGCCAAAAAGCACATAAAGAAATGTTAAAAATCTCTAGCTTTAAGAGAGATGCAAATCAAAACAACTATGAGATATCATCTCACTCCAGTCAGAATAGCAAAATTTAACAGAACAGCAAGCAACAAATGCTAGTGAGGTTGTGGAGAAACTGGAACCCTTATTCACTGCTGGTGGGAGTGTAAAATGGTGCAACCACTGAAGAAGGCGGTATGGCGCTTTCTCAAAAAAGTTGCAAATAGAGATACCATTTAACCCAGCAATTCCACTACTGAGAATATACCCCAAAGAGACCATAACTGACATCCAAGCAGACTTATGCACACCCAGGTTTATTGCAGCTTTGTTCACAATAGCAAGGAGTTGGAAACAACCTAAGTGCCCATCAAGAAACGAATAGAGAAGCTGTGGCACAGTCACACAATGGAATACTACGCTGCATTGAAAAACAAGGAACTCATGCAGTATTATTCAGAATGGGTGACCCTGGAGGACATTATGCTAAGTGAAGTATCTTGGTCACAAAAGGATAAATACTGCATGGTGCCACTGTGGTAAAACAGGACTGACATCGGGGTTGGGGGGAGACTGAGAAAGATGGGATAAATAATGTATACTGCATTGAAACAGACAAGGGAGAAAACTGTTTAAAAGGGATGTGTGATTCGGTATTTTTGTCATGACAGGAGTCCAGAGCGAAGACTACATAGTGGAGTGAACCTGGGGGGAGGGGT